GATCAGGGTCCATGCTGTCTGCTAACAAACCCTATAACAAGTAGAGAAACTGATAGCCAACAGCATGGATCCTGATCAGACTGTGTGGATACGCAGACTGGTCTGGATCCATGCTGGTCGCAAACCCATTATGACCATTTTCTCATGGCACGGCTCATTTATATGGTACAACACAAGATTTGGACATACAAATGTATATCTTGATGTACAAAATGTAATGTACATATCAAATGTCTTGAAATACCTTTATTTTGTCAAAATCAAGTTCAAAACTGCTTGCAAAAAAGCTAATATGTATATATATTGATCTTAAAATTGTTTTTGAATTTAAAGTTGTTCAGTGGCATTCTTGAGTCACTTACAGGAGAGGTAATGCTATAATTTTTGGTCAGAGATTATAAACATTTAAAGATTATTATAACTGCCTTATATAGGAATGGGGCGGATACAATTTTTTTCATTGCTAAGCTGTCAATATGTATTTTTGTTATGTATTAACCTGGCTTCATTTAGCTTCATTTATTTAAATACCCTATGTTTTGTTTTGGTTTTATGTACAATACAAGTTACATGTATATAAATATTACAGCTAATATTGCAATCCAAAGTTAAAGTTTGATATCACATGTTAAGTTAAATATAAAGGTTCCTACATGTATGTTTAATGAAAAACACTACATTGATTTATGTAAGTTTAAGTAGTATTTTTAGCTCACCTGAGCAATGCTCAGGGTGAGCTATTGTGATCGCCCTGTGTCCGTCGTCCGTCGTCGTGCGTCGTCAACTTTTCACATAAACAACATCTCCTCTGAAACCAATGACTGCACATCAACCAAACTTTACAGAAATGATCCTTGGGTGGTCCCCTTTCAAAGTTGTTCAAATGGTTCCGGTCTGTTGCATATATGTAGGTCACAGGGCCAGAAAAGGATTTCATAAAACACAAAATTAAAAAATCTTCTTGTCTGAAAGTACATGGGCCAGAGCTTTGATTTTTGGTATATGGTATCATCTATGGGTCCTCTACCAAAGTTGTTCAAATTTTGTCCCTAGTGTCAAAATTGGCTCCCCCCCAGGGGGTCATAGGTTTTTCCTAATATGTCTATAGGTAAATCTAAAAAAATCTTCTTCTCTGATTTGGCAAAGGCTACAGATTAGATATTTGGCATGAAACATTGTGTAGTAAACCTCTATCAAGATTGTTCAAATAATGGCCCTAGGGTCAAAATTGGCCCCGCCCTGGGGGGTCATTGATTTTCATTACATACATATAGTGAAAACTTGAAAAATCTTCTGGTCTGAAACTAAATGGCCTAGAGCTTTGATTTTTGGTATATGGTATCATCTATGGGTCCTCTACCAAAGTTGTTCAAATTTTGTCCCTAGTGTCAAAATTGGCCCCGCCCCGGGGGGTCATAGGTTTTTCCTTATATGTATATAGTAAAATCTAAAAAAATCTTCTTCTCTGAATTGGCAAAGGCTACAGATTTGATATTTGGCATGAAACATTGTGTAGTAGACCTCTATCAAGATTGTTCAAATAATGGCCCTAGGGTCAAAATTGGCCCCGCCCCGGGGGGTCATTGATTTTCATTACATACATATAGTGAAAACTTGAAAAATCTTCTGGTCTGAAAGTAAATGGCCTAGAGCTTTGATATTTGGTCTATGGTATCATCTGAAGGTCCAATACCAAAGTTGTACAAATTTTGTCCCTAGTGTCAAAATTGGCCCCGCCCCGGGGGGTCATAGGTTTTTCTAATATGTATATAGTAAAACATAAAAAAATCTTCTCTGAATTGGCAAAGGCTACAGGTAAGATATTTGGCATGAAACATTGTGTGGTAGACCTCTACCAAGATTGTTCAAATAATGGCCCTCGGGTCAAAATTGGCCCCGCCCTCGGGGGTCATTGATTTTCATTATATACATATAGTGAAAACTTGAAAAATCTTCTGGTCTGAAAGTAAATGGCTTAGAGCTTTGATATTTGGTCTATGGTATCATCTATAGGTCCAAAACCAAATTTGTTCAAATTTCGTTCCTAGAATTAAAATCGGCCCCGCCCTGGGGGTCATTGATTTTCCCTATATGTATATAGTAAAAACTTAAAAAATCTTCTTTGAAAGAACCCAAAGAGCTAGAGCTAAGATATTTAGCATGAAACATCTTCTAATGGGTGTCTACCAAGTTTGTTCAAATAAAAGCCCTTGGGTCAAAATTGGCCCCGCCCCAGGGGGTCATTGATTTTCCCTATTTAATACACTTGTTACTATATATAGTAACAAAATTGCCTATGATTTCAACTGATTATGAGTGTCAAGTGACCTATTATGAGTTTGCGGCCCGGGGCCGAGAACTAGTTATTAGCCCGCAGAACATGTGCATGTGCACAAACTGAAACAATGACGTCATTTTTTACGTCATGAAACAGTTAACTGTAAAAGTGAAAGTAGGTTGACAGCACATCGTATTTAGTACAAACACAGTTTTGTTACTGTTGGAATTTGAAGAAATAATACGACAAATTCAATCCGAAAAAAAAAATGAAAATAAAACTTGCTTCTTTGAACACACAAACAGTAAACGTACAGAACACAAGAACTTCAAAGTAGATTTCTATTTGTTGTTTTGTTTTTTTTTTTATTCTTTTTTTAAAAATGCTACTATTAGATCTACCAAGTGTATTAAAGACATTAATACACGTCAGAGTAGGGCCGGAAGGTGATAATCGGCCCTGAATGAATAATGGCCCTCGGGCTAAAGCCCTCAGGTCCATTATTCATTTTGCGGGCCGATTATCACCTTCCGGCCCTCTCTTGCCGTGTATTAACCTCTTAATGCATATAGTAAAAACTTAAAAAAATTTCTTTTAAAGAATGCAAGGAGCTAGAGCTAAGATATTTAGCACGAAACATGTTCTAATGGATGTCTACCATGTTTGTTCAAATAAGAGCCCTGGGGTCAAAATTGGCCCCGCCCCGGGGTTCATTCATTAGCTCGACTTTTTTTTTAGATATATACATATTATATATATACATACATATATATATATACTTATATAATCTTGTTTTAAAAAACCCAATAAGCTAAACCTTAGATGTTTAGCATGAAACATCTTCTAATGGGTGTCAACCAAGTTTGTTCAAATAAAAGCGCTGGGGTTTAAACTGGCCCCGCTCCGGGGGCCTATATACAGGTGAGCGACTTTGGGCCATCATGGCCCTCTTGTTTATGTTTATGTAAGAAAAGCTTATCAATATAGATCAACTCTTATTACTAATGGATTTCTCCAGTTTTGTTTTTGAAACAGTCCATTATCAATTTTAATTTAATGACAGGCCTCACAGGTACTACATTAATGGCAAATGTTTTACAGTTTCAGTTCCAGCATTGTCAGGCTTACAATGTATAATCTTGATTTTATATTTATTTGAGTTGAAGTTGATGATTTACTTTTCTGTTTTAACACAGTCATATACAATGTAGGTATGCAGGTTTTTCTCTAGATTTTTTCCTCCCAAGATCTTGCATAATTGACCTTAATTTCCATGAATATTGTCAACAATTTATCCTAAATTCATAATTCGGCTGTTGCAAAGATATATTATTTAGCTACATTGTAGTTTACTGTGGCGAAATTTCCCATTTTATAGATTTTTGTTGAGGCCTTATGTTTTCCATGATTTTGTGTTTTTGCCTTTTTCAAAGATTATTAGGGTGATGGTTTGTATAATGTAAGGACTTATGGTGATTTATCACTCTTTGCTGACAGGAATATATGAGTCGCGTCATGACAAAACCAACATAGTGCGTTTGCGACCAGCATGGATCCAGACCAGCCTGCACTTCCGTGCAGTCTGATCAGGATCTGTGCTGTTCGTTATCAGTTTCTCTACTTGTTATAGGATTTGTAAGCGAACAGCATGGATCTTGATCAGACTGTGTGGATGCGCAGACTGGTCTGGATCCATGCTGGTCGCAAACGCATTACGTTGGTTTTGTCATGACGCGGCTCATATACATAGTGCATATACATTGTACACATGTTTGTACATGTATATGCACTATGCTGTCATGTGTGCAACATGAATATTCATTACTAAGCGATCCAAAAAAATTGAACTTTGTTGCCCAAGGTTTATTTGCAAAATTCTTCTGCAGATCTTTTCCAACAGTTTTTTGCAAAGAACATTAATCAGATTATGTTTCTTGATAATGAACATGATAAAATGAATAAATAATTGTGGAGTCTGCATGCTTGTGGCAACTGAGTTGTTATGTTTTTGTCTTTAATATTATCTTTAACCCCAAACTTGTGTTGGTTGGAATCACACAATATGACACAAAGGAAGTATCAGTCCTCAATGATACAAAGCTATCCAGCTACATTATGAAAGGTTTATTTGTCTACAAAAGTGTCTGCTTGTTTAAGAAATGATATGCAAGGTACATGCAAATGCATGATTTTCTGCCACAAGTATTATTTGCTGAATGACCTTTAAACCTTAGCAGTATCTGTGTGACATACAACACAACCATGCCTTATCAAACTTTTATGGAAAACAGGATACTTGTTTGAAGCCTTGGTTTGGAGCAAAATATTGACAGCAAGTTCATATACTAAGTACATGTATATCAATCAAAGAGTACTTTGACAGCATGCATGTATTTTGTTTATCAAAATGTTTTATTTCCTTCACTATTAGTTTGATAAAGGATAACTGTGATACATATAAAAATAAGTAGGCTATAATTATTAAAAAAGAAATTTAATTATGCAGTTAATATTTTTTCCTGTGAATGTTTCATTTACATTAATGTCATTAACTTATTACATAATTGTATGCTTTTTATTTCTGTGAGAAAAACTATCAACAATGAATTAAAGTATGAAACAATCACTTCATACATCAAAGCATCACTTTGTCATAGAAAGTTATGTTGTAGAAATTTATTTGATATTGGTATCAATACTTTAATCTGTTTTAAAATTACAGAAAGAAACTCCCTCAGATCAGCAGCTTCATTTAGCAGCCTTACAAGGCAACTTCGAACAGCTGAAAAAAGTCCTTGACTCTGGAAAAGTTCATGTTGATTGCAAAGATAAAGTAAGTATATTTGTGCTTCCAAGTTTTTGTACTTGAAATATTGCTTGAACTTGTTTTTTTTTAGACCATTGAGTTTTGAGTAATGTTGCATTTAAATCTTGGTTTTGACTGGAAGTAAAACTTGAGTTATTTAAGAACATGTAGTATTTAGTATTTCTTTGTTGTAGCTTCTGTGGCCAAGTAATTTAAGTCACTGTGTGATTTAAAAAAAAACAACATTCCCCTCATGACTGGTGGTTTGAATCTTGACAGTGATTTTGGATATTTTTTGATATGAGGGAGATACATGTACATGTATCAATTTATTCAATTTATTGAAATTTAGTGCTTCTTAATTTCTGGTGCCTGCATGCCTAAGATAATGAATGAATGGGCATCTGAGGTCTTTATCCAGAGAAAGATGCCTTACATGTAGAACAATTTTTTCGGTGTCCGTGTGCCTTGACATACAACCCAAGAAAGTTCAATTGCTTAAAACTAAAGTTAACTCTCATACAATATTTATTATAGATTCTTTAGGTTTCAGTCTTTCTCAAGCCTTCATCAGGATATGAAATGAGCCGCATCACGACAAAGCCAACATAGTGGGTTTGCGACAAGCATGGATCCAGACCAGCCTGCGCATCCGCACAGTCTGATCAGGACCCGTGCTGTTCGCTTACCAACTGTTTTACAAGTAGAGAAACTGATAGCGAACAGCATGGATCCTGATCAGACTGCGGGGATGTGCAGGCTGGTCTGGATCCATGCTGGTCGCAAACCCACTATGTTTGTTTTGTCATGACGCGGCTCAAATGTTGTTTCAGATAATGATGTATATTACCAAAAATAAAAAATTGACTTGACAGTTGGGGGCAATTTGCCAAGTTCTTAATTGTTAAATTACATATGTAAACACCAGTTCAATGTTATAACAACTCTTTATCAATAATGGATGAGTATGCCATGTTTCTATACAACTCTCTTAACTGTCTAGAGAATTTTACAGCAATAAATGCTTGTTTTGACAAAATATTGCGACATCATTTCATACATGTAATAACCCTTTTTTTTTTTGGTCATTCAGGAAGGTACGACACCATTGATTCTTGCTGCGGCCAATAATCATATAGAATGTGTGAAGGAGTTACTGAAAAATGGTGCTGATGGTGCTGCAAGGAGATTGGTAATATATTTTTTTTTAAATTTTCTTTAATTAAAAAAAAACAACGCAGGGACTCGGCACAGTGTTAGGATATTTTAGATAGTAATTCTGGAAAAAATATATACTTTATATACAGTTTTTTTTGTTCTAGAATTTTTTTCTTACACTATCCAAACACTGTGCCGAGTCCCTGTGAAGAAAACGTATGGTTCAGATTTGGAATAGGCCCTTATATTGGGTTCTGAGAAAGTCCTATGTATGAAGTCAGTATTAAGACTTATAAAAAGACAATTTTGTGTTTCAAAGAAAATGTCCTTACTAACGACTTCAATGTCTACTAATGACTCTCTTAAGGTCTGAATAGTAAAGCTGATAGGCATTTACACACTGTGAATAAAATGGTTGGTCTTTGTTTTTTCTTATATTTTCTCAGGAGAATGAATTTATCTATAGTTTACGGTACTTCACTTTAGATAGAATATATTTATTGAAACTGTCTTAAGTTACATGTAGTTCTTAAGTTGGTTTTATATCCTAGGACTTAGGATACACTTAGGACTTTATATGAAATGCAGGGTGAAAATGCCCTGAATATACTTTCCTGGATACATTTTATGGAGATATATAACACATGTTAAATGTTATTATCAAGAACTCTATAGAATGTTTGATTGATTTTGTATTCTTTAAAGAATAAATTATTTATTTAGTTTCTTTGTTCGATAATTGTAGCTGTTTAATAATTAAATATGCAAGTGTTTACCATTCTGATTATTCTAGAAATGTCAGCTTCAAAGTTTCTACAGTTGTTTATTTTTCATAATAGATGATAGTGTACATTAAGAAAAAAAACACCATCAATGTAATGGCGGCATATTTTTTCTATCATTATAAAAGTACATTTTGCTTATTTAGAATGAAGACAATTATTTAAGCTTGATTTTGGCAAACATTTTGAAGCTTGATTGAACTCACTACCTAGTTTACTGAATGGAATAGACTTACACCGGAATTAAGAATACTTTGGTGATGGTGGTACAAACAATCTTTTACAGTTATGAATTCAAAAATAAGCACAATACGTTGACTTATTTATTGTTACTATCGGTGTTATATGAGAAAACTAGAGCAAATGATCCCTCAGGGGCCGTCCGTGGCCAAGTGGTTAAGGTCGTTGACTTCAAACCACTTGCCCCTCACCGCTGTGGGTTCGAATCCCTACAGGGACTTTGGATTCTTTCTTGTGAGGAAGCTATCCAGCTAGCTTATGGAACGCCGGTGGTTCTACTCAGGTGCCCGTTCATGCCTGAAATAATGCAAGGAATGGCATCTGAGGTCTTCCTCCACCAGTAAAGCTGGAACGTCACCTATACTGTGTTGGTGTGTGGTAAAGTCCAATCAAACAAACAAACAAAACAAATGATCCCTCAGTTTAGAGACCAACACCAATACTAATTGCTGAAGTTAAGTTTTTAAATTGGTCTGACTCATTGTTCAGCTTACTTTCCTCAGATTGACCATCATGTGTCCATAAGTTTAAGTCTTACTGTTATGATATATATATGTTTATGTAATTTAATAACTACATATACATGTATACTATTATCATTTCAGACTGGGACCTGTGCATTATTTTTTGCCGCCCAGGGAGGATTTCAGGACATTGTTAAATTACTGTTAGACAATAACGTACCAGTGGATATACCTAGTTATGTAAGTTATTTATATGTTTATTGGTCAATTTGACTGGTTTTAAGAAAGGTACTAAATGCATTAATTACCCTCTAATTCTCTTATATTTAGAGTTAATATTGTATTAAGGCAAAGTCAAAATATTCCTGGCTGTTTCTTAATTAGATTGGTTTGACAACTTTGTAAACTTTTATTTATTATATGCAGTTATTATTGATAATGGAGAGGCATTTTGACTTCATCAAGAACAAAGGATTTTTTGTCTCAGTAGGTCACTAACAAACGTCTGATAAAAATATGAAATCAGGCTTCACTGTATATGTAGCCGCCTCCGTGGTCGAGGGGTTAGAGTCGATGACTTCTAATCCAGTTACCTCTCTGGCGTGGGTTCGATCCCCGGGAGATGCTTTGGTAGTTTAGCGCGGAGGAAGGTAGTCTAGTACTGGTGTAACTCTCCAGGAAGGATGGTTAGGAAACTACCCGCCTATATGACTGAAATTCTGTTGGAAAAAGGCGTAAAATGAAACAAACAAACAAACAAACACTGTATATGTAGAAACTGAAACATGTAGTTGTAAGTGAATATAAGTATTTGAAATAAACAAAAAATAAAGTTTATCCAATTTTATATTAACTTATCAATGTATTATTATATGTTGTATTACATCAAAATATTGGTGTGGTTGAAGGTTCTATGGTTACATGTACATCAATGCATATGCTGAGCAAGAAGTTGAATATCATGTGAATTTCTTAGTTAGTAATGAGTTAAAACATATAAGTATATGTTCTAAAATGTATTTATTTTTCAAACTGAACTTTTTCATTATGAAAATGCATACAATGATACTCTTTGAAAATGATATTATTTCTTTGTTGAAATTAAATAACTTGAATAGAACCATGGTTACACAGTATATTGAATGTCTTGTTTGTAGGATGGTGGCACACCGCTGTTTGTAGCATGTCAGTGTAATCATTTAGATGTAGTAAAAGAACTGCTTGACCGTGGGGCAGACATACACGCCCAAATGGTAGATGGAGCTACGCCCTTGTTTATTACAGCACAGAATGGACATAACCACCTTCTTTCCTTCCTTATCAAACATGGAGCTGAAGTTGACGTGAAAAGAAAGGTTTGATATAAAAATCTTATAAAATGAGTCTCATAAACAGATTTATAAATCATGTCTTCTGGCATAAATTGTTTTGATTCCTTATTAAAGTTTTGGGTCTATTTTTTGTAGATTCTGAACATGAAGAATGGCACAGTTCATCTTGCGTTATTATTTAATACACTTAAAAATAATAAAGTGAAATGAAAAGGGATTTTTTACATATCTAAATCACTGTATAGTAATTTAGTTCTTCAACTAAAGGAATTGATTTCATATTTTTTAACACAATTTGATGCAAAAGTATTTTATTTTTTCCAGGACAATGCAACTCCACTTTGGATAGCTTCACAGATGGGACATTTGAATATTGTTAGAGAATTACTGAACAATGGTGCTAAAGTTGATACAGAAAGGGAGGTAAGTGAGCTGTTACAATGTGAAATAAAATAATAATATTTGTCTCCCTTTAGTTAAATTATAGTTACTTGAGCTTGTGATGAAAACTTTTAACCACTCATGAGTCTAGTTTCTTGCACTTACCAGTACTTGTGCCATATTATGAAGTATGGTCTTGTCCATAAGTCAGACTTGTACCCTTGAGTGGCAGACACCTGAACTGCTTGGTCAGCATTCCCTTTTTCTCCTGTTATTTCATGAAGGCATAATAAATTGTGGCTATGAAACCTTAAATAATTTTGACTTTAACAAATGTAACTGTAGATTTAAGTGCTGCACATGCCTTATGCTATTATGAAGGAAACTGTCTCGCTAGAAAACAGTAAGGGGTGCTACCAAGGTCACAATACATACCTAAAACAAGTCTCCAGCCATCAGTAAATCTGAAAACATTAGACTTTATTTATGCTAGACTTGGACAATATATAAAAAATAACATTACAAAATACTGTATTTTATAGGATGGTGCTACCCCACTGTTCAAGGCTTGTCATAAAGGGCATTTAGAAGTTGCTGAAGAATTACTCAAACATGGATCTTCGGTAGGATTATTAAAGGTATGACAATTATTTTGTCTGTATTCCCAAGATCAACAGGTAGATAAGCAGTTCTAGCAGGTTACAAAAGTTTGTAGACACAGTTACTTTTATACGCCCCCAAAATTATTTTTGCGTATGATTTTATGCAGCCGGTTGTCTGTCCCCATGATCAAATGGGGATAAGGGTCCATCTCACTGTAAACAAGACAAAAGAGAACCAAATGGTTCATTATGTAACAACAGAGTAAGTGGCCATTGGCCCTCTATTGATCAAAAGAAAATAACAGAAGAAATGGCGCTCTATTCCATTTGGCGGGATGTACGTCCGTACATCTGTTAGCAGGTTTCGGTCTGTATCTTTTGAACCAGTGGAAAGGAATTGAAATTACTTAGCAGAAATGTTAACCATAGAGACGATTTGCAATGTGCAGGTTTGACCATCCTCAGGTCAAGGTCACACTAGATCATTTTGTATCAATTTCAAAATTTTGTGTCCACTCTGTATCTTTAGAACCTATATGCAGAACATAGCTTTGGGCTTCCTGAGATCAAAATTGAGCTATTGATCTTCACAAAACTGATAAGGATTTAGCCCTTGTCTCAGTATTGGCCCCACCCCAGGGCTCACTTGATCTACATGTATATAGACTTATATAGGGAAAACTCATCTGATACTTCTTAACTTTACAATAATAATATTTTGGCTCTGCCCCAGGAGTCACTTATACAGTTTTGTATGGGAAAACACATTTAAGTCTTATTTTGGTGAAACTATAAACCTATAGTTTAGATATTTGACATTTAGCATTGCCTTGTGGGCCTTTAAAAATCTGATATTAATCACGCCCTTTCCGTCAATATTACTCCTGCCCATGGGGTCATTATTTGATTTAGTCTATAGGAGAAAACACATTCCAGTCTTACTTTATTAATCTACAATGCCAAGAGCTAAAGTATTTAGCATGAAGCCTTACCTTGTGACCCTCTGCAAAGCTGATAAAAGCATGCCCTGGGTTCAATATTGGCCCACCCTGGGGTCACATGATTTATATAAACTTATATAGGAAAACACATTTAAGTATTATTGTTTGAGACTTCATTTATAAAGCCCGGAACTTGAATATTTGGCTTTTTGTAGATTTTCACATAAGTTTTATTAATCATTATCCACAGGTCAAAATGTGCCCTGTCCCGGGTTTCACTTGCTTTATGTAGAAAAATGTACAGGAAAACACATCTTTTGTAGATAAATACTATCCCTCTATATATGGCATATAGCATTGCCTAGTGGACCTCTCTAAAAGTTTTTGAATCATGCACCAAAGGTAAAAATTGCCCCCACCTTAGAGCTCATATAGTATCATAAGGATAGTTAAGATAAAACATTTTTTCAGACTAGTTTCATTATAGAGTCCCTACTCTTAATTAGCTCAAATTAACATTTGGGTGTATATTTTGATTGCTTTTGCGATGCTCTTGATAAACCTTAAATTGTTGTGTGCAACATACGCAGTTACCTTCTCTCTAACATGCAATATATTTGTAATGAAATATATATAAAACAGAATGATATGTCTTTAAGATATGTTTTCAGTTTTATAATATCAGTTAATAATGATGTTGGTCAAAATGATGTTTAATTTTGAAACATATTGAATTTGTATGTTCAATGTCTGTGAATGATTAAGTTTGCATTATTGCCTATAGAATGCCACAAAAGTATTATTTCTCAATATTGGTCTATCCTCTTGAGGTACCCACTTTTAATTATGTTGAAATTTCAACGTAAAACTTTGTACATGTATTTGAAAATGCGGTTTATTTTCATACTCTCAGTCATATGTTGAGGCCACACTTCAACACTTGTTAGTGTCCAGCTTTATTTGTCATCCAGTGAAAACGCTGTATATCATAAAAATTGTGTGTGTTAATTTTTAAGAAGAACAAAAGTTGATACTTTATCAAACCCCGTTCATAATCACCTTCTATTTTTCATAGTACTTCAAAGAACCGTGTAGTGACGTTATTAAGTGAATAATAATAAGGCGAAATAAAGCTTGACACTAAGTATGTTAGTATTCATCCGTAGCTATTCTTTAGCTTCCGTCGAAGTTTCTTATTTCTGTAGAACAGCACGGATTAACACTAATGTATACTTAATTGGCAACTTTTAATTTTTTGTTAAAATTTATATTGATATGTAATTTTGGAAAGCATTAAAGCCTTCTTAGCTCTAATTTGTCCTTTTCTTCTGCCTCCTGCATTATACCTGAGAACTATAATACACATACACAATATAATTTTAATGCAATTTAAATTGCAGGTTTGTTCCAGGAATGGATTCTAGGGTGTTTCTATAAGCTAAAAAAAGTCTAAACTAAGTGAAGCTGAAAATGAAATGCAAAGGATAATAAAGAAATATGCTCAGAACTAAATTAAAATTAATTTTTAGTGCGATTCTTAGCCCAATTTGAGTGAAATGTGTTAGAACGCTTTTCAGTTATGTGTCATTTTGCACAAGTAAAAATGATAATTCTGAAAGGAGAGGGTATGATCTGAAAATATGCTAAAAAATTATTGGTCTAGGCATACATCAAAATCAATGGTACATAAATATTGTAAAAATATTTCCAGTCCCGGTATGTTACATAATCTTAAGTATAGTCCCTTTAAGCAGTTGTCAATGTTTGTCATATGATTCCAGATATTTGACTTTCTGGTTTTGTTGAAGTTACAATGTAGGAGATAAATTAATGACATTAATAAGGTATTTGAAGGGTTTTGATGAATACAAAATACAGTTTAACTCCTGTATAGCAACACCCTTAGCTGGTTGTTGCTAAGAGGGGTAGCAGTTGCTATACAGGTGAGAGAGGTTACTTGAGGGGTTAAACTTCTTATGAAATCTTATTATGGGAAGACTTTATATGTGTAGTCTTTATTTGATTTGTTATGCTTGATATTCTAAACACTATAGATATAAACTGTAGAATGCATGGAATCATTAGAAATTAGGTTTGTCTTTTTATGAAAGGACCAACTTAAGAGGATCTGTAATAGTGGATACAGCCTCCCATATTTACTGGGTGCCTATTATAGTCATATTAGACATATTCAGGAAGAATTCCTAGATTTCAAAGAATTCTGCAATACAATTATGTTATTCTAAGATGGGTGCCTCTGTGGCCAAGTGGTTTATAATGATTGCTGACTTGCAACCATTTGCCCCTTATCACTATGGGTTTGAATCCCACCAGGAAGTTTGGATTCTTTTATGTTAGGTAGATATTCAGCTAGCTCAATGAAGGTCGGTGGTTCTACGTGGGTGCCTGCTTGTGCCTGAAATAATGCTGAGAGGGGTACCTGTCGTTTTTCTCCAACTCATATGCTGAAGAAATCACCATTTGACCATAACAAAGTGTTGATTGTGACATAGAACCAGACCAAAGAAAAATAACATTGAACATCTGATTACTTGTAAATAAATGTGCACAAATATTTTATACTTGTTATGAACAGATAATGTGGCCCTGTGTAAATAAATGTGCGCAAATATTTTATATTTGTTATCAACAGATACTGTGTCCCTGTGTAAATAAATGTGCGCAAATATTTTATATTTGTTATCAGCAGATACTGTGGCCCTGTGTAAATAAATGTGCGCTAATATTTTATATTTGTTATCATCAGATACTGTGGCCCTGTGTAAATAAATGTGCGCTAATATTTTTATATTTGTTATCAGCAGATACTGTGGCCCTGTGTAAATAAATGTGCGCAAATATTTTATATTTGTTATCAGCAGATACTGTGGCCCTGTATAAATAAATGTGCGCAAATATTTTATATTGTTATCAGCAGATACTGTGGCCCTGTGTAAATAAATGTGTGCAAATATTTTATATTTGTTATCAGCAGATACTGTGGCCCTGTGTAATAAATAAATGTGCGCAAATATTTTTATATTTGTTATCAGCAGATACTGTGGCCCTGTGTAAATAAATGTGCGCAAATATTTTATATTTGTTATCAGCAGATACTGTGGCCCTGTGTAAATAAATGTGCGCAAATATTTTATATTTGTTATCAGCAGATACTGTGGCCCTGTATGAATAAATGTGCGCAAATATTTTATATTTGTTATCAGCAGATACTGTGGCCCTGTGTAAATAAATGTGCGCAAATATTTTATATTTGTTATCAGCAGATACTGTGGCCCTGTGTAAATAAATGTGCGCAAATATTTTATATTTGTTATCATCAGATACTGTGGCCCTGTGTAAATAAATGTGCGCAAATATTTTATATTTGTTATCAGCAGATACTGTGGCCCTGTGTAAATAAATGTGCGCAAATATTTTATATTTGTTATCAGCAGATACTGTGGCCCTGTGTAAATAAATGTGCGCAAATATTTTATATTTGTTATCAACAGAAACTGTGGCCCTTAATTGTGTTTTATCAATACAAAAACATTTTTCACAAATTTTCCTCCTACATGTTTTCAAAAGGAAGTTCTTCACTTATTAGCTTGTTTGTGGTTTGAATTTTTGAATGCCTCCTATTTTTATATAATTCTTTGTTTACCATTTGAAAACGCTTAACTAATGAAGGCGAAATAATGATATAATATTTAATATTAGAGATAAATTCAAATGAAATGAATTTCATGTTTTATATTTGATGCTATTTTCAAATTATTTCCATGAATTATTGTCCAAGAATTCCCTGAGTTTCATTATTATGATTTTGCAAAACTATAAAACAAGAATTGCAGTTTTAACTATGACATTCACAACGCAATATAATAATGTCTTGGTTAGTGTTTCTATTACAAAAATGAGTACTTTGTCTTCTTATGGATACCAAGGTTCAATTATCTAGAGTTTCAGGAAACTGTACTGTTGTCAGAAATTTTAACAGTTCTGTTGCTCTATCATGTTTTTCTATTTTGTAAGCTATAACCTGCTTAATTTATGTAGCGGCTTTGCTTAGGTTTGAGTTTGGAACTGTTGATACAATGTTAGGGTTCAGAACTGTTCACTTTTTATTAGAGATAATGTGTAAGCTGTTGGATAGCTCAGTCGGTAGAGCTGAGGAACGGTATTTCGAAGGTTTGAGTTCCTGTCAGGCTGCACATTTTCCTAACCCTGTGACATAAAGTATAAGGGATTTGAAGTAGCAAATACAATAAGTGAGCTACCAACAAATTTCAATATTAAAGCTTTTTTCAACTGCATGGATGAGCAGGTTGTCTTGGCTTTATTATATTAACAATCGTATATTTTTAAAAAGATTTGGGCAGATTTTTTAGCTCACCAGAACCGAAGGTTTAGGGTGAGCTATTAGTATCAAATGGGGATACTCCGGCGTCCGTCATCATGCGTCAACAATCATCTTCTTCTCTGAAACTGATGGGCAGAATTACCTGAAATTTGGTCTGTAGCATACTTGTGGCAGTCACACTTAAATTTTCTAATGCCATTTCAATTGGCCCCTTTAAGGGGTCAACAGAGCTAAAAATAGAAAAACCTTTAAACATCTTCTACTAAATTAAATGATGATCACTAAAATTTGTCTGTAGCATTCTTAGGTAGTCTTGTATCAAATTTGCTCATTTTAATTTGATTAGCCCCTTTTAGGGGCCTCTAGAGCTAAAAATAGAAAAACCTTTGAACATCATGTCCTACTTAAATAATCGATGGATAATCACCAAACTTTGTCTGTAGCATTCTTAGGTTGTCTTTTATCAAATTTGCTCATATTGATTTGATTAGCCCCTTTTAGGGGCCGCTACAGCTAAAAATAGAAATACCTTTAAACATCTGCTTCTACAGAACTAATTGATGGATGATCACCAAACTTTGTATGTAGCATTCTTAGGTAGTGTTTAATCATGTTTGCTCATATTAATTTGATTGTCGACTTTTAGGGGCTGCTAAAGCTAAAAATGGAAAATCTTTGAACATCATCTCCTACAGAACTAATTGATAGATGATCACCAAATTTTGTTTGTAGCATTCTTAGGTTTTGCTTAATCAAGTTTGCTCATATTAATTTGATTGGCCCCTTTTAGGGGCAGCTTAAACTAAAAATAGAAATACCTATAACAATCTGATTGTACAGAACTAATTGATGGATGATCACCAAAATTTGTCTGTAGCATTCTTAGGTAGTGTAATCATGTTTGCTCATATAAATTTGATTGGCCACTTGTAGCTAGAAATAAAAAAATCTGTGAACATCATCTCATACTGAAATGATTGATGGATTATTACCAAACTTTGTCTGTAGCATTCTCGGGTAGTCTTTTATCCAGTTTGCTCATATTAATTTGATTGGTCCCATTTAAGGGCTGCTAAAGCTAAAAATAGAAATACCTGTGAACATCATCTCCTGCTGAAATAATTGACGGATGATCACCAAATTTTGTCTGTAGCATTCTTAGGTAGCCTTTTATCAAGTTTGCTCATATTAATTTGATTAGCCCCTTTTAGGGGACGCTACAGCTAAAAATAGAAATACCTTTAAACATCTTCTACTAAATTAAATGATGGATGATCAGCAAAATTTGTCTGTAGCATTCTTGGGTAGTCTTTTATCAAGTTTGCTCATATTAATTTGGCGCCTTTAAGGGGCAGCTAAAGCTAAAATAGTAAAACCTTAGAACAGCATCTCCTACTAATATTATTAATGAACAATCATCAAACTTTGTCTGTAGCATTCTTAGTGGCCCTATTGTTTATTAGGAAGAAAAAGAAAAAAAACAAGCAGTGTTTTGAAAGTATATTTCTAGAGGGGCAAGTTAAAGTTGAGCTGAACTTGCCGAAAGAGCTGGACTTGCCTTTCAGCAAGTTCATTTGAAAAATAATTTCCAACACTGAAAAGCATTTGTTTCTGGTGAGCGACTCAGGACTATCATGACCCTCTTGTGTAATTAACTTTTTAGTTTTTAGTTGTTTTTTTTTGTCCATAAACTTAAACCTTGATCATAACATTTTTAGTTCTGGATGTATTGTCTTAATGCCTGGCCAAAAGAACCCTTTGGACAAGACATTAAGTAGACCAGACTAAACTTGACCTTTATACATAAATGATTTTGACCTTCATGGTCAGATGTCTAAATTTTGTGTGATTTTTACTATAAGTGGCTATAACTTTGTTATGAAAGGGCAACTGAGGTCTTCCCTCACCAGTAAAGCTTGAAACTCACCATTTGACTTATACTGTTTTGGGCGACGTAAATTCCAACCAAAAAAAAGGGAAATACATGTATATGGCTAAGTTTGTGTATTTTACAGAATGGAGAGACACCACTACATGCAGCCTCGTTATTTGGTCATATGAAGATAAGTAGATTATTGATGGCATATGGGGCTGATAAACATATGAAAAATAAGGTATGTTGATTTGTTATACTTCTCTGTACTGTACATTTGACAACTTTGAAAACGCATCAGACATATTTTCACTAAATATGATAAATGTTTCATGACATTTGGAACAATTAATTATCAATTTCATGGACATTATCTGTAAGAATTTTATTTTATAGATATTAACAATTTACATATATTTTGACACATTATCATAAGGTGTAAATTATGAGTTAACAAAAGTCAGATATGTTTGATTTTGAAAATAGGGAAAAAGTGGAGCATGGCCCAAGCTTGTCGGTGGCTGTAGATTCTATTTCTTATTGCATATTTTGTGTTTCAGATGCAATGTCATGGATTTATTTATTTACTATTGTGACAATGTATAGTTTTGGAAGTCAAATGCTCTTTTGGTTTATACAGAATTTATTTAAATCAATTGTGTATGAAGCTTTAAGCTTATGGCACACTTTCGAATCTGTTCCTTGAACCAACCAGTACTGAGCAATGAGTGTAAAGTGTCTTGCACAAGGAAACAACGACTTGCCTCTGACGTGGTTTGGACCCATGCGGCTAGCGATCATTAGATTACTAGTCCATTGCTTTAACCACTCGGCCATGTGGCCACTTCAAAGTTCATTTGTTTTATTTTATGTATACAGGAAGGACAGACACCTTCTGAGTTGGCTCGAGAAGCTGGGTACGATTACATTGCAAAATACATAGAAGGTTACACTCCGATGACAAACGGCAAGGCAGATCCTAATTCATGATAGATAACTCTTCCTTATCTCTCCGATGATTCCTGAAAATGCAAAGAGATTATCATGCTGGATATAAAAAAAGATTGTGTTCCAAGTAAAACATATTTATACCGATTAATTGTTGAAATTTCATCACATGGACATTTTTTTCTTTAATGGACTCTTTTAATTTTGTTACCTCAGTGTGGTACTATTTTATACAAATTAAGATAAAGGTGTTCGTTCTTGTATAAAATTTAAATTACGGTAAGTACAGTTCATACATGGTTGATACCTGTAAGCTGTTTTAAGATCTGTGATAATGTTTGGCCAGTTAGTCAGTTAAAATATATGGTACTGAATCATTCTTTAATGTATAAGGCTGAAACTTGAAAAAAATATAAATACATTTGTATAATAAAAGACATCCAAGTGACAAAATATTATAAAAATGTATTTGGCATGTTTTTTTTTTAGATAGTTTTGGACTTTAAAGAAAAGCACTTCTATTATATCTAAAAATGTGATTTTTTCCTATATTACATCTTACCTTTTTTAAGTATATGTAAAAGAAAAAGTTTTTTTTTCCTACAAAGTATGATATTTTTCCCTGTGTTCTTTAGAAACATGGAATAAAATTTGTGTTGCAAAAAGCATTGTAACATAGAGAAAAGGGAAATTTTTTTTTAGTTTTTGTTCATTTTATCATTGTAAGAATAAAGTCATTTATAGATATACTTCATATTTAGTGATATGCACCAGAAAACCATTTGCACAGGTCTGTTCAGTTTGTTAAATGAGCTATTGTTATTGATAATTGAATTTTTAACCTGCCTTCTGAAGGCAACATCATTAAATATTTCATTTTCAAACACATCATTTCATTTGACTCTTTCCTGCGTAAAATCTAAAAAGCTTTGAAATTGTATTTGGAATAGGATATTTAAAATTCATAAAATGGGTCAAAATGACAGTTGAAGAATTGTTAATAATTAATTAAAAATTATGTTTGAAATTTGTTCCAGCCTTGATATTTTCCAATGTACAATTAAGTACTGTTGTTTTTCACTGGATTATTTTAATATGATATTATTAATAACATTTTGCTAGCTTGAAGATGTGCTAGTGGCTAGTGATTTGTTTGTTATAATGTGCCAATATTGTATTTTTTAAAAAGCTACGCAATGAGTGAGAGAGACTTAAAGTATCCCCAAAACCGGTTATGAACTATTATCCTTTTTGCTTGTATTTGCTTGATTGATATACACGTAATTGCATTTAAATTAGTCTGTTAAAGGGACTCTATTTAGGTTTCTTTTATAAACCAACTGGTACACTTAAAATGGAAATCTATGTACTCCTTAGTATATAAATATGTTTAGTATTAAATTGATAATCAATTTTTTAATGGCAATTTTGGGCTGATTTCAGTGAAAAGCATTTCAACACTTTCCAATTTCTGGTCAATTTGCACAATGAAATTTATTATCCCTGGGAAATAGAGTGAAGGAATGATCTGAAATTTTGTACACAAGTTACTGGTCAAGATCTACATCCAGTTATACAAAAATCTTGAAAAAAAATGTTTATAGTCCCTTCATGTTTAAAAGTCTTAGTGGAGTCCCTTTAATTATCTGTCTTAAGCATTAATGATGAACAGAATAAATACGGGGTCCTTTTTCATTCTTGTTTAGTTTTTGACCATAATTGTTAAAAATTGAAAGTGAAAAAATGAATCGGGTTCTTAAATATACAAAAAATATTTTTTTTTTTAAATAAAATTTAGAAATGATAAATTCTAGGTTTTAAAAGATACAAAATTCTAGGTTTTAAAAGATACAGAAATTTTATATTTGGTTTATTAAAATTAAAGAAATAATTGATTTGGTAAATATGAATACAGAAAATTTCAATTTGGTTAATAAAAATACAAAGATCTTAAACATTGAATATTGAAAGTTTTGAAATTTAGTATTTTTTGTTTGAGAAGTAATAAACTTAAGTCCTAGTTGACTTTGTTGTAACCACATTACACCTTTTGATATTGTGTTAATGCCAGTGTCAGTGTAAATGTGGACTAGTGAAATAAAAATAAGTGTTAAAGACTGAGGCTATTGAAGGTAGAACACACTGTTGTTATACAGTGAAACTTTTGGAGAAAAAAAAGTATTGATGTTGTTACATGAAATTCTTAATTATTCTAGAGTGATATTAGCTGCTTGATATTTGTGTAGCAAATAATTAAGCCGCGTCACGACAAAACCAATATAATGTATTTGCGACCAGCATGGATCCAGACCAGCCTGCGCATCCAAGCAGTCTGATCAGGATCCATGCAGTTCGCTTACAAACTCTATAACAAGTAGAGAAACTGATAGCGAACAGCATGGATCCTGATCAGACTGCGCGGATGCGCAGGCTGGTCTGGATCCATGCAGGTCGCACACCCATTATGTTGGTTTTGTGTAGCAAATATGTTCTTCCAGAAAATCAAAAAAAGCATTTTTATTTGTTTTTGAAGTGGCTTAAGAATTTTATTTTGATACTTTCTTGCCATTTTAAATGTTTGTTTTTGTTGGATTTGTTTTAAAAAAAATCCAAAGTGTTGTGATATGTCATTTATTTTGTTTTTTTTTAAGAAAAAAAGCTTTTTATTATGTAGATAGAAGTTATTGTTGTTTGTTATTTTTTCCATCACCATCCCATTTCTTTTAGTTGATTTTTAATTTTTTTTTTTCATAACTATTCATTTTAGTTTGGTTTTTCCTATTTTGTTATTTTATAGAATTAGTAACTTGTTTAACAATGCGGGTATGGTCTTTGATTTTATATGTTTTTTTAAATGTGGTGACATGATGATAGATCAGATTATATTCCTTATTAAAGTGTATAAAGCTATATATCTGCCGCAAATATTTTTATTTAAATTTGAAAAGAATACTTCCAAGATACCAGTATGAAAGAAATATGTTGTATACTTCCAAAAGAGCAAATAGCTCATGCACAAAATCATTGCTAATCAGTTAAAACCCTGCTTAAAATAGAAGCAAAATATCTTGTTCCAGAACTTTTTATTCTGTTTATATAATAATATGTATGTGTTAAATAAAAGAGCCATTCAATTTTATAACTCTTTCAACAATCAACCATACATTATGGAACAACATTATTTCACTGTTTAAAGATTTAATGAAATATTTTCATTCGATTATAGCTTTGTACCCTTTTAATGTAACATTGTGTTCTTGATAAAGGAAGTGTATTGCACTTTTTGGATTGTTACTTTCAAAAAAAGAATGTGCTGAACTACTCCTTAGACATAATCATGTGAAAAGTAGTTATTGATACACCTTATTAAAATAATATTATTTTTTGTCAGATTTTTGTTCAGCTTTTCTAAATTGATTTTGCATGTTTGTTATTAATTATGTTCCCCAAATTATTTGTTGAATTTTAATAATAAAATAGTAAATGGTTAGAATAATAGGAACTTTTTAGGTTTAATAAAACTCAAAAGCGTTTAACCCCCCCCCCCCCCCCACGCCACACACACACCCAAAGTCCCCATTTTCTTATGTAGAAATAAAAAAAATGTCAGAACATTCAAAACTAATGAAATGTGTCTGTTTAACTTTCTTTTTTTCAATAAAATAAATGTAATTGATCTTTTCTAACATATAATAATTGCAGACTTTAGAAAAAGGGAAAATTGTGATAAAATTGAGTCGATCTTGATAAAAAAAGTATGAATTCTAGACAAAGTAATATTAGAATTTGAATAATTTTTTCTCTCTGTCCTAAAATCATACCTAGAATGAACATGAATTGAGAAAATGATGAACTTCCATTTTAAAAAGTATAAAATATTTTCAAGAAGGCATGAAAATTTAATCATTTTAAAGCACTCATTACTTTATTTCCAATTATTTACTATCTATCATAATTATAGATATATATCATATAAGTATAACTATCTCACACCACAGAAGTATTCTAGCCAGCATAATTTAATTGTTTACTGATACATCTCAAATAAACTTCATCCTAACCCTGATGTATCTATATAACAAACTGGTTTTGTTTTGAAATCTGGAAGAAGGGTGGTCACTGGGAAGCATAGGGTGATCCCTCTGAAGCATTTATCACAATAATAAGTTCAAGACTAATTTTTAAGATTTTTCAGCTCAGCCCTCTTATTTTAAAATGTAAAGGAGCTGATATTTGTATATATCTGTGATAATTTGATAATAAAGAAAGCTTCAGAAGCAGTAATTTGTATTGTAGCTCTGTTTTTTTCCTCATGTTTTGCCTTGATCTGCCTCTGATGATATTTTGCTAGATCTTTATTAAGTCCCAAGTAAATAATATTTGCTTTGCTTTTCAATATTTATTTCGAAATTTTCGTAAACTTCTTTGTGAATTTAGAAACAGATTTTATGATTTTGCTGAAAATCAGTTTTGTTTATCTTACAATATTAATCATGCTAAAACTTTTTTTTATTTAAGATAATGTATTTAAGCTTATTGATTCCCAGTCTTCCTTTAGCAGTAAAGGAGGAAAGTTGTGATATCACCTAATTACTTGACATAATTATGAAGTATATCTTCAGTCAATGCTTATAGCTATAAAATTACTTTCTCTAAGTAAACAAAATAATATCTGGAAAATAATTCCCACTGAAAACTCGTTCAGAAAAGTGAATCCAATATTATTTACTTGTTACTTTATATGGTTATACTGTTATTGAGCTAGGTTTTGATGTTGTGTAGCACATAACCTCATCATGTGTGCCATACTATGTTGTCATTTTTCACTGCATACATGCATTAAATTTATAAATCTCCAGATTGCTTGTAAAACATGTTTTTTTAAGAAATTTGTAATTTTTTCTTTATTATTTAAGCAGTTAAGCTGTTTTAAAGCTGCAGGTTTTTAGATTTATGATAATTTTTATTATATGAAAATTTTGAAAGAGTTTTAACCGTTAGCCTGCTGGCAGCAACTGATTTTAACCCATATGACCACTTCAGACCAAGGTCAGCCTGCACTGTGCCGTTCCATCTGATCATGGTCTGTACTGGTCACTATTCAGTTAGTATATATTTTGAAATTTTACATATAAATTATGAATGACTTTGTCCAGAATGGAAGATTTACAAGCTTTTAACATTAATGAAACTAGTATGGTAAGAGTTACATAGTAACAAATTATTTTAAGCAGCTCGGGATTTGTTTTATTGAATAGGATATGTTTATAAGATACCAGAAATTCCTTTTAATATAATTATAAAGGGGTATTATTCTTTATTCCTTACATGATTTAAAGGTTTTGTTTGAAAAGCATTATTGAATGACTGCCTATAACTGTGCAATATACGCCTATAAATTAATGAATGTAAGTTAAGAACTAATGTAGGGAAGTTGTATTTAAATTCAAACATTTTGATTTAAGCATGAACATAATGGCATTTTGATTGTATATGTTATCAGGATTTTTATCCAATTTATTTAATTACTGTTCATCAAATTTAGTGGTTTATTTCATCCTAAATTGTATCTATAAATATAATGCTAAAATCATTCCTTAGTAAACACGGATTCGTTTTAGAAATTTGGATGAAGTTGTTTTCATAAATTTCACAAATTGAAATTTTGCTAAGGTCATCAGCTAAGTGTAGAGAGTGAATTTATTGTAATTAACTTTAAAGTAAAACTCCCATAATGCATTGGGATGTTATCAGAATTTTTTTGAATTATTGAATTAATTGTTTATTTTTCCTTCTCAAGACACCTACAATATAAGCTCAACATTGCTGTACAAATGCTTGTTAATTTTATGCATGTTTGGAAATTTATTTATGATGTGAAATTCTTCATAAGCTTTGATGTTGAATATTGTAAAAGAGCCTAAAATTCCAACAGTATTTAAGCCCCGCCCCCTACCACCAACTTCTATACTGCTATAGGATAACAATCAGATTTTATGCAAATGAGGTGTGATTTTATGCCAGTTATACACATGTAGAGTAGATAGAGGTGATATTGTCGCTAATAAAGCTACATTTTAGATGTTAAGAACCACAGTTTATTTAGTGTTAAGATTCCTATGTATATATTATGTAGGATTAAGTTCAAGACTTTTGTAACTTTACAGAATAAGTTATGCCAGTTTTGCATTGCATTGTTAAGGGATACGATATAAGCCCACCTATTTAAAGATTTAAAGACTTTGTGACTATCATGTATAATTTCATAAATGTATTAATTCAACTTGGTTTTAGAACTTTGTTCATGACAAACTGCCTACATGCTTTGTTTAGGTACTTCATAAACATACTTTTATTGTAATCTGTAATGGAAACGCTCGCTTTTATTGATTGATCATGTTTAAAGTCACTAAGTAATAGCAGTTTTATATGCTCCTTGAAATTTATTGATGGAGCACATATAGCTACATGTTTGTCCTTCAGTCTCATTTGATATTTCTGTCCATTGTTTAGCTCAGTAGGGAGAGCCCTTGCCTCTCACTGTTGTAGGTTTGAGCCTCGCCAGGGTCTGGATTTTTCATGATTGTGAGAAAGCTTTTGAGGTAGCTTACAGATTGTGGTGGTTCTACTTATGTGCTTGTTTGTGCCTGGAATAATGTACAGAGGTGTACCTGCGTCCTTCCTCCACCAGTTAAGCTGGAAAATTTCCATATGACCTGCACTTATACCTGGTTGGTGTGGGGTTAAACCCAAACAAAAACAAGAAGAAAACAAA